TCCTTGCGAGAAGAGCCTGACCCCGACCTGGCTCCAGCCTCCTGTCAGGGTGCTGTAGAGAGCCAGGTCTCCCCTGAGCCTCCTTTGCTCCAGGCTCAGCACCCCCAGGTCCCTCAGCTACTCCTCACCACACCTGGGCTCTAGACCCACCCCCAGCCTCGCTGCCCTGCTCTGGCCACGCTCCAGCTCCTCAAGGTCCTTCGTGCAGTGAGGCTCTGTTCGTCTGCCCAGTGCACTCTGCAGCAAGGTGTGCCAGCCACACATGCCCACACATGTCAGTCTCACCACGGACACAGGACCAAGCCCTGCTGTTGACAGTTGCCCATGGGTTGTTCATTAACAGCAGGGCAGGTCTGCACTGCCAGATCCACCCTGTGTTCCTGCCTGTCCTCACAACGCTGCTGCAGGAGCCATGCCCTGCACCATGGCTGCAGTGTTTAATCAAGGCTTCGGTGCTCACTGAACTGCCTGAGTAAATCCCTCAGGAGGAGGATGCTCCTTCTTGACTACCAGGACAGACTTCACCATTAACCTGCTTAAGTTATTATTGCAGATATCCAAAGAAAAGCAAAAAAGCTAGTGAGGGGTCTACAGCACAAGTGTGGTGAGGACCTGGGGGTGTTCAGCCTGGAGAAAGAAGGCTCAGGGGAGACCTTTTGGCTCTCCACAGCTCCCTGACAGGAGGCTGGAGCCAGGTGGGGGTCAGGCTCTTCTCCCAAGGACCAAGCGACAGGACGAAACGGCCTCAAGTTGCCCCAGAGGAGGTTTAAGTTGGACTGGAGGAATATTTCCTTCCCCCTGAGGGTTGTCCAGGGCTGTGCCAGGCTGCCCAGGGCAGTGGTGGAGTCCCCATCCCTGGAGGGGTTTCCAAGCCATGGAGATGTGGTGCTGAGGGGCATGGGTTAGTGGGGACCTGGCCGTGCTGGGGGAACAGTTAGGCTTGCTGATCTTAAAGGCTTTTTCCAACCTAAATGATTCTATGATTTAAAAAAAAATACATGACATGATACATTGCATAATAATGTGCAAAATGGACTTAATATAGGAACTCAATTAAGACTTTTACCTCAGTATCTAACCAAGCAGCACATTATTGCAGATCACCATACAGGGAGCCCAAACATTGCAAAATTTCTTATCATACAAGGCTAGGAATGGACAAGGAGGTGCTAGTGAGATGCTGTACCACATGCATATGAAATGAGAGCTCTTAACACAGCAGGAGGAAAGAAAAGACTGCTGGCTCTTCATGGGTGTCCCACAGTAACTAGAACATTTTCCACAATGCAAAGCAATTCAACATTTTATGAAATAAATGCTCTTTACGTTTTCCTTCTTTAGGACATCGATGGTGTTGGGCGTAAGTACCACCTGGAATTGGTGTTAGAGGACTTCCTTGACAAGGTGAGTTCAGATTTCTCTAATATATACTGCAGGCAGAAGTTGGCACTACTGATATGCTATAAAATTCATCACTTTGTGCTGCTAATTTTGCACAAGGCCACTGGGCACATCACTCAATACTTGGTATCATGTCTGGGATTTTTCTATACTGCAAATCAGGCAAAAAATGGCTTAATCTTACCAAAAGGGAACCCTCATTTCTTACACCATAAAAGCCCCAACATCTTGTACCTGCCACCGTGACACAAGAAAATGCTTGAGGAGGGACAAGGACTTTTTAGTCTCATTGAGTTTCAAACTGGTTATGTGAACCCAGTTCCACCCCACAAACACTGCCCTGGTCGCTGCAGAAAGAAAACTGCCCTTATGGTGTGTTCTCTGAAATACTGGGAATTTAACCTTGTCCTAAATAGGCATGATTTAACTTCATCTTAAATACAAATCAATATGGGCTGGACTCAGAGAAAATGGCAACTACATAAAGGAAAAAAAACATCAAGATACCATTATTATACTGGTATTTATCCAAATATTAATACACGTCATTAACTCTACGACAGGACAGTACTGTTAACTGCACTGCTGAGGTTCTTTATCATCTGGGCAACCAAAGGCGTGCTCCAGATGTGCAGTTCACACTGGAAGGAGAGCTTAAGAGCACAGACGAAGCAGATAACAGATTCTACAGTCGAATCAAGAGCCTGGAAAAAGAGCTCGTGGCAGAAAACATACCAGGTACAAAGGAGGGGTTTGGGTGAGGGGGAAGGTTTTGAGACAATATCATGTGAAGAGAACTGGGAGGAGAACACAGTGGTGATGTGGCAGCTCTCCTGAGATGATGTGGGAGATGTGTGAGACAGCACAGAGTGACTTCAGCACCTCTTATTAGGTGGTAAGGTTGTTAATGGTGGCAACTCTGTGATCTTGCAATTCAATTGTCATTGTATTTGCCAGACAGCCACGGGAACGTGTCCCCCGAAATGGAGCCTGTGCGCCTGCTGGCGTGGGCCGCCTCGGGCTATGTGGTATGGCAGAACTCCACTGAACACACCAAGCTCCAACTTGCCCAAATTAAATGTGTGAAGCAAGTGGTAAGTTGCCATCATGGACCTGCTGGAGCGGGGCCACAGGAGCCCCAGCAATGACCCGAGGGGGGAACCCCTCTGCTGGGAGCCCAGCAGGAGAGAGTTGGGCTTGGGCAGCCTGAGAGGAGAAGGCCCCAGCTGGGGAGACCTTCTGGGGGCCTGACAGGACTTCAAGGGGCCTGTCAGAAAGATGGGGACAGACTTTTGAGCAGGGCCTGTTTGCTGTTTTGACAGGACAAGGGGTGATGGGTTTAAACTAGAAGACGATTTAGACTAGAGAGAAGGAAGAAATTTTTGGTGCTGAGGGTGGTGAGCCCCTGGCCCAGGTTGCCCAGAGAGGTGGTCACTGCCCCATCCCTGGAACCATTCCAGGTGAGGTTGGCCGGGGCTCTGAGCAACCTGCTCTAGTTGCAGATGTCCCTGCTCACTGCAGGGGGCTGGGACTAGATGGCCTTGAAAGGCCCCTTCCCACCCAAACCATTCTATGATCAATGCCCTGCAAGAAAAATAGCATTTAAGAGCTAAGCAGCATTGGCATGTACCAGATTACAGTTCAAGACAAGTTCTTCAGCAAGAAACCTCAGTTGTGTCTGAACTTTGTGGTCTGATTTATTTTTAAGCCAGTGGTTGGTTTCTGTTCCATCTACCACTTTCCTTCAATTCTAAGAAAATTCTAACCATGATCTAAACTGCTTCTGTCTTCAATGCTGCAGCGTCCATTTCCTATTACACCTCAAAATGCTAATCAAGAAAGAAGATATTGATGTCATTCCACTCCCATTATTAGCTTCTTAACTTTGTTCTTCCCAAACTTACTTTTACTAATTTTTAATTATTTTTGGTGGTGTGGAAAAAACCTAAAATGAATTGTTAGTTGAGCTCTTACACTTACAATAGCATGATGTGCATTAATGAAATTTATGATAAGAAAACTGAATTCAGGAAGGTGTGTCACAAGAAAAAGAGCACTTCTGGAGAAAATATTTTCTACTTTCACGTATTTCTGAGAGGTTCATAGAATCATAGGGGTTGGAA